TTCAATAAGAGTTTATAAGAAAGGGTATCACTTTATAACCAATCACCAATTATAATGATAATAATACCTCATCAATAATCTTAAATAATTTATTATAATGTGCACCCCCTCCCATACAATTACTTTTTCATTTTTAATTTAAGCTACATTTATTTCTACAATATTAACATCTACAGCAGTGTCTTGTCCATACACTAGAGTCAAAGAGATGTAACATAATATAATCTTAGTTCTTTTATTAATCTGAATCATAAACAATGAGTGATTTCTTTATCAATTAATTTTTATTAAAAGTTAATGCAATAATAATATACCTAGTAAACATTAAGATTTATATATGAAACAATTCATGCAGCAAATAAGTTTCTCAGCTGTGTTAATGTTATTGTTTATTTGTACAAGAGTAATGTTTGTAAAGAGTAGCAATAATGAATGTCTGTGGCAACTCGGTCACCATCAACTTTACTTCCACTTTATGTCAAGTAAAGAGAGGTTAACAGTACCAAATTGTTATGTTTTGTGACGTTACTCACTTTTCGTGAGTTTTGATAAGAGTAATGATTTGAAAATTAAGGTATCGAGAAACTAAAATGCCACACATAAAACTCATACAAGGAAATATAATGAAGTATCAGCAGTATATTTTTTTACTAAGTTATGGAACAAAAGTACTTGGGTATCAAAACCGGGGGGTTTGTGATGCAGCAGTCCACAATTATATCTTTTCTTGATAGATTTTTGTTTGTTTTTCGTCTTTATCTTATCCGACAGATAGTCGTTACATATTTGTCTGGCATGATTATTTGAATGTAAGCAATTATATTTACACGGTAAGATCAATTATCAACACTTAAGGCTTTGTTTTCACTTTCACGAAACTAATATTAATAAATATCGCGATATATTTAATTTAAATAAAATTAAATCAGCTGTAACGATTTGACCGGTTATTATTTACACTGGTTATTATTTGTATAAGACGGAAGGTTAGGCTTCTGTGCCGTCTCTTGCACCAACTTTCGAGGACCGGATGGATGGCCCTCAGGGTTATAGTGCTAAACTGGACTTTGTCTTTTTGGTTGAGCCATTCGGACAATCTCCACTACTCTGCGTCTCTCCGGGTCTGGAGAAGGCTTTCGGGGGTGTATCGCTCTCCCCTGTTTCTCGCCTCCTCACGTGTGGAGTGGATATTTGCAAGGATGCGGGCATCCAACTCCCACGGAGGAGTACCAGCGAGTGCACACGCCGCCGCAAAAGATATCGTTCGATATCCATGTATTATCCGGTTTGCAATTATTCGCTGGGGAGTATGAAGCAGTACCCTATTGGTGGCATCGACCTCCCACATTGGGAAGCATTCTTGCTAATGCCGATGTGGTCTTTTCCAACCTAGGGGCTATCGACCTCCCACATTGGGAAGCATTCTTGCTAATGCCGATGTGGTCTTTTCCAACCTAGGGGCTAGCCGTTGGAAGTGGGTATGGAAGTTCCAACGGCTATCCAAGTACAGTCCCAGTACTTCATATCATGTTTGTATGGGATTGTTACCCCGTCTATTATGATTTTTGCATTGGCGGGAGGTCCACGTCTGGGGCCGTGGAAGGCAACAACATCGGTCTTAGTGGTCGCCACCTCAAGTCCCAGCTTCTCCTGCCAATTATTAAATCAGCTGCAATTCTGGCTAGGCTATTCGCGGAGTGAAAGTCGTTGCCACGTATTACTATTAGCGTGTCATCGACGTAACCTATCACATTCATACGCGGCAACAGGGCTCTGCGGATAGCCCAGTCATACCCCGTATTCCACAGGAGCGGTCCTAGTACCGACCCCTGTGGAACACCTCTCACCATATTATGAGATACCAGTCTGCCGTCGTGATTAATGTACTGTACGACCCTATCCTCCAGGTATTGTGTAACTATATTCCTGAGGTACTTGGGGAGGCCGTGATACCTCAATGCATCTCTAACGCAACAGTAGGGGAGGGAGTTGAAGGCATTAGCAACATCTAACGATATTGCAATGACAATCTCTCCCCTACTAAATACGCTTTCCGATATTCTTTTTAGTCTCAGTAGCGCATCCACAGTTCCTAATGCCTTGCGGAAACCGAATTGGTTTGGTGAGAAGCCAGGACCAACCGTATCCATGTGCTGCTTGATGCGGACGGCAATGATTTTTTCGAAAACCTTGCCGACCTCATCAAACAGCACAATGGGGACGATATGCTGACGGGGAGTCCGTTGGTCTACCTTCTTATGCCAGTAGGCACAATCTTTCAACTTTCCATGATTTGGGAAATAACTCCTGTCCAGACAAGCGTTGTACAAGGCTCGAGTGTACTCCCCAAGGTGTTCCATGGCTAAGGGAAGAATACGGCCAGGAACACCATCCGGTCCTGGAGCCTTCTTTTTGTACTTCAGCCTGTCTATTGCATCCCTAAATTCTTCTTCTTCGACAGGAGGGAATTCTTGTTCCTGTTCATCAGGTTCAGAAAAGACCATTCGAGGAGCTAGGTCCGGAGTAGTTGGTGGGAAGAGGGTGGTGATCACTCTGTTCAACAACTCCGGGTCCATGGTTGCCGTGGGTGGCGCTTGGTTACGGAACTTGTTTCGAACCATTTTATAGGGCCTTCCCCACGGATCCATATTGAGCTTCTCTCGGAATTCCGCCCAAGCATCGGATTTTGCTTTACAAATCGCCGCTTTTAGCGATTTTTTAGCGGCATTATATGCGGTCCTCAACCGTTCCTCCTCGCCCTGGACCCTAGAACGTCTTCTGCGACATCTATTTAAGGCCCGCCTGATCCTATATGAGTTGTCGCGAAGGGTGCTAAGCTCGGCGGACCTCCAGTATACATATTTCTTGGGTGGCACTTCTCTCACCCTAGGCATCGATGTACTGCAGACCTCAGTGAGTGCTGTCTCTGTCTCGTGACGCCGGACCACCCTTGCCACTTCGTCAATCCAAACTTCGTATTGTGCGACGGTTCTATTTGGGGAGAAATATACGGCAAAAAGCCTAAATTCCCCCCAATCCGCCACAACAATGCCTGAGTCCTTCTCCCTGATAGTGATGAGTCGAGAATAGCGTTGTGTTCTTGGAATCAATATTGCAACACTATTGTCTAAGTCGCTTACCCAATTGTCCCTATCAGGAAAAGTAAATTGAGATGTATCTCCAAAAGTCTCCAGCAAAAAGCTGCTGGAGGAACGTCCACCGCAATCTCCCTGCGTCTTCGACGAGGGAACTAAAACCGGTCCATTGGATCAAGCTATAACAGAGATGCTCGACAATCTCTTGTTCAAAATCGGAGAGATTCAAAACATCATAGACTATAACATCACATAGAGCAAATCAGTGACCTCAGAACAGAGGCGCAGGGCGAACATCTCTTGTTCCAACATGGTCGGAACTGTTTAATCTTTATTTGTTAAGAAGTAAAATGTCAAATAAATTAGTTGTATCAGCGGACATTGGAAGAGATGCAAGTTTATATCAAAAAAATAGCAATATCGGGTGCGATATGTATCAGTTACAATCGGTTTTGGATATATAGCTTTACAAAAAAAAAAAACATTAGTTTAACCATATCCAAAAGGATTGCCAATGGATTGGTGACGGCTATTCAATTTAGAAACAGCAGCTTGGACAGCCTAGTTCCATAAAGGCTGGAGCCTAATTGTTTATTTTTAAAATTTATCGCAATCCATTTTAATTAGAAATTTGATAGATATTCACAACCTACAAGTTAAATAGTTAACTTGTGATAGCGATAACGACCGCGACGTAAGTTTGACAGATATTGAACTAACGATATCTTTATTTTGACGATAATTGGAATTGTATAAGGCAAGCGTTAGACTCAACTTCCAAATTGTATTAACGCCATTGACAACTACCCCAAAGAGTAGTATTATCGTTTGTGATTAACAACCCGTTAGGGATATGAAGCGCGTAGATATAGCGGTGGCCAATAGACATGGGAAAACAGTACACTGAAAAGTAATGCCATGCCAGCGTAATATGACTTTAAAGCATTACTCAGTACTCTAAACATGACCTAAGAAGACGCCGAAAGACGGACCGATAAACATTCAGTACAATCATGTATCTGTAATTGTACTGATAAATTTTATTTTTATTTCACAGCCAATCAACTATTTTTAATGATTAATATAATTATTAATTTTCATTATTTTGTATTTTTATATATTTTTTGCTTTTTTTGTTTTATGCTTAATATATACATTTTTAATTACAGCTAATAAATACTAATTGGTTTTTTATATTTAAGCCAAAAATTTAAGTCTGTGGTATTACACTACAATAAGTCGATGTCATGTTCTTTGAATGTTCGTTGCCATGCCATATTTAGCGTCATGTGCTATACTTAATTATATCGGGTAATACGTATTGTTACAGTACGCGGTCGTGCCATATTACGCGTTATAGATTACTCACAGTACTTACACATCTCTAGTGCTCAACTCGATCCGGGGATAGATCTCTATTTACTTCAAAATAAAAAAATACTACAAAAGCAGTATCAGTAATTTTAATTAAAATACCTATAACCTGTATTTATTTGTTTACAAGGCCTTTCGATTTATGATATATCGTTTTGTCCCTAACTGTATCCTTTCTTCTAGTGATGGATTCGAGTCATACTCGAATGAAATTTCTCTTAGTAATTTGAAACAAATACACACTTATTATAAATCAAATACACTTTAAAAGAGTTTTGACATCTTATTTATTTAAGTAATCACATAAAGCAGCAAAGTGACATCTAGTGATTAGAGAATCAAATCGATGCGTCGAGTTGATTCGATATCTCGAGTGTATAGAGACACGAGTGAATAAAAACAAGACTGAAGTCGCATTACTACTTTGAAATACTTTTTTCATCTTTCCAAAGGTAGCACTTGAAATAATTATCTTCGTCGTTAAAATTCATATTATCCTATTAACTTAAATGGGAAAAAACTTTAAATATTTATTTCTTTCGCTGGATTGTGGTGAATTCCTGATTGTTACACTTACCACATGTTGATGTCATGTTCGGGTCATGCGATCCGTTTGTGTTTAGATTGGATAAAAAGTTATTTATTTTATTGAATCGTAAAATAATTTGCTACTGATGATGGTTATGGCAACGGAAACTTCGAGTCAAGGGGGTGAACCACGCGAGGTGAGTGCATGTATATCTTAATTTGATACACTTACCCTGCAAAAAACTTAAAAATTTTGACAAGCATGACTATTTTTATTATTTTTTTAATAAACTGTTTAACAGTTCACTGTGCACTTCTTCTTTCATTCATTTCATTTTCATTTTACATATAGAAATTTATTTATTCACTTGACATTGGCAGAATTGTGTGAAATGCGCAGATAAGCCATTAATAAAAGAAGAAGAAGAACTAGTGCACTTCTACAAGTGAGAGAAGTTATTACTTGAGAAATAGAATGCCTTGAGAAAACTTAAACAAATATTATTAACCAATAGACAAGAATTTGAATGAAGTAAGAAGTATTAATAGCTAATAATAATAGTATTTGAACTTATAACAGTTCTACTATTATAAGAATATTTGCTTAAGATTATTCATTTTATTTATTTAGGAAAACAAACAGTTGTTTACAATCTATATACAATCAAACCTTATTAAACTAATTGGCCTTACAGTTAGATTACTAAATACTTATAAAAAATTATTTAGTTGCTAATTATTAACAATGTGACATTGAATAAACTTAACCTACAGAAGTCAAAATAATATTTATTTAAATAGACTTCTTAAAAGTGCCTTTGAATCATCCAAATATTTTTTCCTTACTGCTCATTTAGGATATTTTTGGCTGATAAGAAGAAGTAAGAAACTCACAAGCTCTAAAGGGAATAATGACTTTCACAAAAATCATGTCATGTTAAACTGGTAATCAGTTTAAATAAATAACTTCCTTACAATAATTTCAAAATTCACTTCAACTATAGATATTAGTTCTTGATTCTCCTGTAAGTTTTATAATTAATGATAAAAAAAAAACTGTTTAATAATGTTGCTCTAAAAATGCAGTCAGTACACAATTTCTACATTTTGGTTATAAAATAAATGCATTAAACTTCCTTAATATTAAGTTAATATAAAGTTAATGGAAAGCTCACTAGTGCATTGGTGATTTACTTAAACAGACTTCATACAGTTGCAATATTCATGTAGTGAACAATGATTTCTGTATTTAAATCTGCGTAATAAATTACTTCATCATTGAGGTCCAATTGTTGGTCTTGAGTTAATCTTGTGCAGACAGAAGTAGATAAATGTAATGTCAAAGTCATCAGTGTCTATCAACTAACGAGAGTAAAAAAAAATCTATAAGATAAATATCAATTTAGTATTGCGAATGCAAAATTGATAAAATAAATGAAAAATACAAAATATATATAAGTTGATGGCTCAACAAAAAGGATTGATAATGTAAACTCAATGTGTTGCTCTGAAAATAAAGATTTATTTTATTTGTTAGTAACAAAAACAAATTATATTACTAATTAAACCTAAATTACACTTCATAAAATTCCTAAATATAAATATAATACCTGTAAATAAAGAAACGACATTTAAAGTAATTTTTTATCCAATCCTCTTGAAAATATGTATTTTTAATAATATTTCTTGTTCTTCTTCTTCTTTTATTAATGGCTTATCTGCGCATTTCACACAATTCTGCCAATGTCAGGTGAATAAATTTATTTCTACATGTAAAATGAAAATGAAACGAATGAAAGATGGCGATGATTTTTTTTTTTATAATATTTATTTATAATTTATCTATTTTGACATTACACACTTTTTAATATGTAAGCTTTTTAATAATTTAACATCTATAAATTAGCAGTATTAGAAAACCAAAGAGTTTTTATGCACTACATACTATCTAAATAAATATTAAAGAAATACTTTTCCTTTACATATACAATAATTAGCAAAATTCATTCAACAGCAGGAGGGAGCGGGTGCACAGGACGGTGATACAGCTCTGCACGAAAGGCTAGTCGCGTATGTGCGTGCACTCGACTCCAGCAATGTAAGTTTTACACTGTTTCCTGTAATTATTTAGTCCTTTGAATGGCTCCCGGATATGAATATACAGCGTGTTTGGTAATACCTGTATAATCCCGAATATGGCACATACGGTATGATGAATAGAACCCAGAAAAATGATCACTAAGTCTGAAACCCAGCACATGACCTAGATATTTAGCTTTTTTCTTCGAAGTAAAACTGTACGCTGATGACCCTAAAAACAGCTGTTGTGTTGTATTTGGTCATCGACTCCATGTGCCGAACTAGTTTAAAAAATAACAGAAGTTAAATAAATCTAAAGATTAATGCCTAGAATAAATATGCATCCGAGAGTAATTTATTATTTTAAAACAAAGAAAAAGTTAGTAGTAAATGATTTTAAACCATAAAAGTACACCAATCTTGTGATTACCGGTGTTTCAAAAACTATTATTGAGAAAACTTCTCTAATAATACAGTCAAAATAAAAAAGAAATTGCAAATACTTTGATTGAAGTTAGATATCTGCACTATTGCTCACATTAGTCTATGCAAGAAGGAGCGACAGAGACATAAAATCGACGACGATGTGTATTGAGAAACTCGGGTTTCTGATGTGTCAGTAAGGTTCTGTAGATTAATTGCTTTGAAGTTTTGTTATTTTTTTTATAAAGCAGTGTTATTTTCACGAAACAATAAAATACGGACTTATACAATGATAGATAGATTATTAAAATCTAAATATCTCGCTTATTCATAGTTTAAATAATAATTAAATAAAGGTTAGTTGTAATGGAAAGGTTTAATAATAAATAATATTTCTTTTCTTTTCTAATTAAATCAATAATTTGTATGCCTTATAATTTTGTTAATGACTTGGTCTTAAATAAGGTAACCACTTTTAATATTATGGCCCTTTTTTTCTTTTGTAACCGTGAAAAGCGTAAATAAAATTGTAATAATAAGTAAACAGCCTAATTATCAATTTCGTCAGTAAAAAAAAATAGTATAATAAGTTTCATTGAAATTTCATTGTTTAATTAAATATTAAAATAAAGATTTTTTGTTAGGTAGGTTACCTAACACAGAATTTGATGACGCAGAACCCTAAATCGGTGCACTTTTGATTTAGGTACCTACATTGGTGTTCGAGTTGTAATAATTACCTATGTAGTTTTGGTCATCGCTTCAGTCGCGTCGGAGACTTTCATCGGTGTACTTGTGAGTTTTCAGAATTTAGAAGGTCAACTTACGTTTTCGTTCTTTCGAGACTTTCTCGTTCTGTTTACCTGTGTGTTGTGTTTGTGTGCGGTCAGTGCAATGAGTTCGTACTCAAATGTCTAATATTACGAGATGATATTGTGTGTTGGTGCTTGTGACGGTAATCTTGCTGCGGCTCGGCGGCTTTATGACGAGCGCCACGTGTCAGGATGATCTGAAAACCCTCGACGTCTTCCTTCATAACAGTGCTTCGCGGCACTTGTGAATCGGTTACAAACAACTGGTTCATTCCATAGTGTGATACAGGAAGGCCGGCCGAACACCTATTCCATCGAGAGAGGATATGATTTTACGTCGAGAGTAACACGGTCTGTGTCGAATCGAATGGAGATGTGTGTTTTATGCGGTGGCCGATATATCGAGACCTTGGATTGATAAAGTGGAGGTGAAGTGTAGGTAAAGTTGACAAGTGAGAGCTGAGAGAGTGATTAGAACGCTGCCTCTAGGTATGTACCTGTTAAATCTTAAATTGTTTTAATTACAAGTAAACTCATACGCAGTCGAGTGCGCGCGTCGGCGAAATCAAAGTGTATTCTAGGAAACGAGAGAGAGTGAGTACGCCGGGACGGCACGTGTAAGCTTTCAGGGTTGTAGAATATTAATCGAAAACAAATCGTTCAAATATTTGTATGAAAATCTCAATTTACGTGAAATTGTTTTTTGACATATTAATTATGTTCTTTGTGCTAAGTTGTATGGCCATGTTTCGGGATTATACACGTATTACCGAACACGCCGTATTTTGGAATCGCATGATACTTTTGCGAACGGCATTCGCCGCGAGGGTGGAGTTTCGGTCGGGCATAAAAATAATTATTCGGGACCTATCCGAAGTCGTGGAATTTCATACCGGATCCGGAACGAGAGCGCTCTCGAACACTGACACCGAACGTTTCGCGACCGGGTCGGCGCGCAGGACTCCCGATCGGGCGTGTGGGGCGAGCACTCGTACGCGCGCGCCCGGGTCGGGTCCGTCGCGGGGCCCGTCCGGGTGATGCTGGGGCCGCGCGACGCCGGCGCCGCTCCCGCCGCCGTCGACGTCGAGAGCGTCGACCCGACCCCGCCCGATCCGCCCGAGCCCGACGGCCCCGACCCGCCGTTCGGCTCCGGCTCCGACTCGGGCGGCGACGACGAGGACGACTGGGAAGCGAAGACGGTCGGCGGCGCGCCCCACGCGGACCACGCGCGCCTCGCGGCCTCGCTCGTGGACTCGCTCGGGCGGGTGCGACTCGCCCGGCTCGCGGGCGGCCGCCGCGCCGAGCGACTCGCGCTCGTCGGCGAGGCGACGCGGCTGAGGCTCGCGCTCGCGCCGCTGTGGCTGCGGCCGGGCGCGGCGCACGCGCGGCCCGCGGCCTGGCTGCACGCCGCCGTGGCCGCCGCGCCGCCCGCCGCCCGCCGCACGTACGACCGCCTGCTGGGCGAGCTGCGTCGCGCGGCGCCGCGCGTGGCCGAGCGGCTGACGGGCGCGCGCGGGCCCGGGCCGGCCGCGGCGGGCGCGGAGGCGGCGGCGCGCGCGGCGGACGAGCCCGGCCCGTGGCTGGTGTGGGTGGGCCAGAGCCGGTGGGCGCGCGTGCTGCAGGGGGCGGTGCACACGCGCGTGCTGGGCGCGGGGGCGGGGGCGGGGGCGGGCGCGGGGGCGGGCGCGGGGGCGGCGGCGCCCGAGGCGTGGTGCGCGGCGGTCGCCGGCTCCGTGCGCGCCGCCTTCGTCGACGTCCTCGCGGAGGCCGGGTGAGTCGAAAACGTTCCGTTCTAGTCGACGTTAAAAAAGGCTGAAATATTTATTTATTTTATTAGGACAACCGACGAGACACAAATCGTCTATAAGTAAATGATTCAATGCTTATAATATAAAATCGATGCTAAATTTTGCCTAATTCGAATTACTTATTCGATGTCAAAAACACATACACTATTTTGAGTCGATTAAAATTATAGATTTACTTACAATTAATTTTTAATCCATTAAGTGTAAAAAAGCAAATTATTAAGTATGTAGATAATAATAACAACTTAACAAAAATAAAATTAAAATATCGAGTTAAATGTCAAAACAGGCACAGTAAACATTACTACACAGGTTCACATACGAGAGCTCGCACCTCCCGCTTGAATTGCAATGATTTATTTATTGAACATAGCAAATGCATTTACCCAGAAATGATCCTTTGGTTTTCCGAAGTCTGAAGCTTGAAACGGCAAGTTTATTTTTATTTCTTGTGTTAAAATTATGAACACTACTTGTTTTTGTGAAGGAATCGTAATGTTTTCTTGCGTACATAATATTTTCATAGATGTATTTAGAGGCAACAGTCAAAATATTTATTTCTTTAAATATTTCTCTGAGAGATTCTCTAGACCGTAAATTATATATAGCGTGGACAGCTCTCTATTGTAGAATAAAAACATCCTGAATGCTAGCCGCAGATCTCCACAACAATAGACCACACGTCATTAGACTATGAAATAACTAAAATATACCAATCTTGCCTTTTCAACATTTGTCAAGAGTCTAATTTTCTTAACCGCAAATGCTGCAGAACTCAGTCTACTTGACAAGTTATCAATATGAGGATCCCATTGCAGTCGGGAATCTAGTGTAATACCAAGGAATATTGTCGATTCCACCAACTCGACTTTTTCACTATTTACTTTTATGAGTGTACTAACATGCCTCACATTAGGTAATGTAAACTTTATGCATTTCGTTTTATTTGAATTAAGCTTTAAATTATTATTATCAAACCACTGTAGAACATTGTCGAGAGCATCATTTACATCGTCAAAACAATCATTACCTCTCTTAACTTTAAATACTATTGAGGTGTCATCGGCAAATAATACTGTCTCTCACAAATTCTTCGTAAAGTGAAGGCCCTCAGCATACAGTTTCGAAAATATTATTGCATGATATGCAGAACATCAAAGTTATCACTGGAAAATAAATTAGTTATTTATAAATGCATCATAAAGCCAACTTGGACATACGGAATTCAATTATGGGGTACATCTGTGAACTGAAATCTGGAAATATTCACAGAGATTTTAATCGAAAGTACTGCGAACTATAGTGGATGCACCTCGGTATATAACTAATGAACAACTACACAAAGACTTAAATATCTCAACTGTAAAGCAGGAAATTAGAGATAGAATGCCCAAATATAGGAACCGCTTACAAAATCACAAAAAATGAACTTGAAACAGAGCTCTCAAGTCTAGAACATGAACTGAGATTTCTAGTGTATCTAAGAAAATATTTTTTCATATGTATCGGCAACCACTTCAATTGTTTTAATAACTTTATTGTCAACCTCCAATGAGTATGTGCGCATATTACATTTATGTTTCCCCGTTTCTTCATTTATGATAGTGAACAAGCCGATGTTCTTGCGTCCTAGGAGGTACTGAGGGTAAATAAAACCGCGTCATAAACTGACCATAGTTTTGTATTCCAAAAACAAAATATCCTCTCTTACAAGGAAACTGACATTAGATATATACCTTTTTAAACAAAACATAACACCGCGATATTCTAAATGTACAGCTCCATCTTTTAATGAAAATAACAAATATTTACGTCATAAATATCATTCACATAACCATAAATACATTATTTTATAAGCATTTTATTTGTGTTAATAATTAAACTAAATACATGCATAAACGGCTTATACATAATCGCCCACCAAGGACAAACTAAGCTTTGTCCTTACTTAAAATAACATCATATGACATCGCCCACCATAACACAATATACCTATAACTTAACAATTAAAGTTACATTAAATGCAAATTAGTCACAATAAAATATTTTATATGTTAAACATGCTTTCAATATCAATCAGCTATAAGAAGGATACAAATCTTAGAAACAGGCCGTTTTAAAGTGCCGCCTTTAACCTTCAAAGTAACTACCCTAACTATATTATCATTCCCTGGATGAGTTGCAATCACTTTACCATAAAACTAACGTCTAGCAGATAAGTAAGTCCTTTTTTTTTTTTTTGACGAATATATATTTATTCGGATGTTTATTTATGAATCTGCCTCCTACTTTAAAATCATATTCACCTTTAATAGACAAATTGAAACATTTGTATCTTCTAAGTTTTGGTAAGTTTTTTATTTTCTTATAATATCTTTTTTCATTACTATAATTCCTGACTTGACACAATTTTAACACTTTATTCTTTAGTATACGTAACTTACAATTAGCCAAAAATTTATAATTCTTATTTAATTTATTATTTGTTTTCATTTTTAAAACTTTTTTATTTCTTTCAGTATGACACTGACTATCGTTATAATTTCTTTCTTCTTCTTTATTTGATTTTACAAATGTTTTATTATAAGACTGCTTTTGTATCTCCAATATACTCTTTTCTGATAATGAATTCATTTCTTCATATTGCCTAACGCCTTCGTGAACAATTTCCCATCCTTTCCTTTCATCACTATCCAGCTTACACTTTAACCTCGGCACTTCATTTTTCTTTACTTGACAATGCATGACATTTATTATTTCAGATGACTTACTACATACATCAACAATTCCCGATAAAATCCATCCTAATGAAGTGCATTGCGCAAGTAGTGAACCACGTGCTCCCTTCTTAATTCCATCTTGTATTATCTGACTATACACTTCCGAACCTAATAACATATCAATTCGATTAGATGTGTAATAGCCAGGGTCCGCGAGAACAATCTCAGATATTTCCTTCCATTCCACTGATTTTATCTCCTTGGTAGGCAACAATATAGTAATGGACTTTAACACATAAGCATTAACATTAAGAATAACATTTTGATCAATACGTGACATTATTTTTATATTGACCATAGCCTTGGATATTAATCCACTTTCACCACCTACTCCACAAATTTGAGCCTTAACTGGAATTTTCTTTAAACCCAACATTTGAACCATAGATTCCGTCACAAAAGAAGATTGGGATCCTTGATCCAATAAAGCGCGAATCGTAAACATTCTACCATTTGCTGCCATAGAATTTACTAAGGCGGTTGCAAGTAGCACCTTCTTGTATCTTGCATGATTAGTCGAAATGCAAGAAACCATAGGAATCGACTCAATGTTGTCAGTATTTGACAAAGAAGTACTTGGTTTCGGTCTGTCATCAACTGAAACCACATTGTTTACTAAATTCTTCTCTTTTTGGGAGACCGTACCCTCTGTACCTTTAGGATGCAAAAGAACGTGATGCCTTTTCTTGCAAATACGACATCTAACATTACTCTGACAGCTCTTAGCAGAGTGATTACGACCCAAGCAACAAAAACATACATTGTTATTTAAAACAAAGTTACGCCGCGACTCTACAGTCTCATTTAAAAAACCCTTACAAAAATTAAGTTTATGTTCTTCTGAACAAAACTGACAAACCAATTTTGCTATATGTAAAGATTTCATTTTATCAATTTGCATTTTATGAAATTGATTTTTATACCCTGTTTTATGCCCAGATTCTAAAAATTCGATGGCGCGATAGCGATTTTTAAGAAAATGTTCAAATTGCTTATATGTTGGCAATTCATCTGTATCACTGTCAGTCACAAAAAATTCCCACTGCCGTCGAGTTTCTAAATCCAATTTTAAAGTAATAATGTGTATTACAAGTACATCCCAACTTTCTGTATTTACCCCAATATTAGACAAAGCGGACAAACAATCATTAGTAGTATCTAACAACTCCTTCAATCCACTAGCTGACTCGCACATAATATTTTTCTGAGACAACAACCTTTTCATAATATGACTACATATATATCTCTTATTATTGTACCTTTCTTCAAGTAATTTCCAACACCTATCATAATTACAGTCAGTAATAGGAATATTATTCAAAAGTTGTTCAGCCTCTCCTTGCAAATATCCCTTTAAATACAATAATTTTTGAACATTTCCTAAACCATTATTATTATGTATCAAAGAACAAAATAGATCTCGAAAGGTATTCCATTCTGAATACTTTCCAGAAAAACTAGGAATATTAACCTTCGGAAGTTTTATATGAGATGTATTTGTACTATGTTGAGCAACCGTAACAGATTCATTAAACTGTTTATTTTCAAATGTTGACAAAATAGATTTTAATTCCATTTTATACTCAAAATAAACTTCTTCTCCATTATCATATATATCATTTTTAACATAAGTTGTTTCAGCTAATTTATCTGCAGAAGACACTGCACGCATCAATTCTTTATGACCCGCAGAGAACTCAAACCACATTTGCTCTAACAGTTCTATACGCCCTTCCACATACTCTTTTGTAATGCGGCCTTTAGGACTCTTTTTAAAGTTAATCTTTGCTTTTGTAAGCCGAGCGTATACATCTTCTTGAAAATGAATCAATTTCTCCATTTTAACAATCAAAAAATAAACTTCAAACAAAGCAAAATAAAGACCTTATTTCAATAACCTAAACGTAAACACACCTCTTCTATATAAATCTATGATCAAATAATTTTTAAAATTTTCTAAGTCTTAAACCTCTTTTGTATCTGGCCAAAATCGGGCATAGGTTCCCCGTACCTTCGTTTTTATTAAAACTATTCTAAGTTCCTAATTCTACAATACAAATTATTCTAAGTCCATATAAGCAAACACTAAATTCATTAAGTTAAAATCTTCTAGTACTTAAAGTTCAAATTAGTTCACTTTTATTTTTTGACTTCACTTCAGTTTCAAAGTTAAGCTCTTCATAAGAATAAGGTTTAAAATAAAAGTACTCACAGTTGTATTTCCGTTTCACTCACACATACACAATAGAGCTCATGCCATCCTTGTCTAGCACGATCTCCAAGTTATCCGCACCGCTGACTGCT